ATAAAAGTCTAAATAAAACAGAAATATTGGTGGTAATTTTTGACAGTGTAACTGTACAAACGGCAGCCCACACTCATTTACGGTCGTCTCGTTCGGCTCCACACTTCTCTCCTCTCAGGAGGGTTGTTCACGGCGCACACAATTTCCTGTTAGCCTGTTAGCTTAGCCTCCTTCACGGTCACGCTGCACGCTGCATACGTCGCAGCCAACYGTTAGYGATGGAGTAAATCAGATCCAATCGTTTTAAAGTTCAACAGAGGCCACGCCTCCRGAAAGAAATCACTTCTCAATAGCTGAGAGTCCAGAACAAGGGTCTGGTTTTTACCAGACTATGTTGGACCCAGTTGGTCCAAACTTCAGCTGTCAGACACTTGGACTCACATGTAGGAGCTCATGGTCCACGCAGTGACGGGAGGAGCTCAAACCATCAGGCCTCCACCAGGTGACGGGTCTGTTTCTGAGTCCCAACGTGCTGCGGTGCATTATGGGTAAACATCTGTTCTTTGGTACCATTTGGTTCAAACCCAAGTCCTGCTGCCGTTTCAAACAAACCGTACTTGTTCTGTCTTTTTCTGGATGTCCTCATGACCTTTGACCTGCTAACTGAGGCCTGACATGGAGCRTTGCACAGTCTGACCTTCAGGGTGCAGCAGCTGTTGTAAATGTTTCCAGCCTGTGATRAATCTCTGTCTCTGTGGAGCGATGGATGATGGTGAATTGACTCAGACTTGCACATTTGGACTGGAGACTTGTAAAACGACTTGTTTGCTCTGGTAAAAACTCTGAAACTGATGATTTGTTGCTCAAAGAAGCTGATAAAGCCAGCAGTAACCAGACCGCGTGCAGGTTTTACCACGGTCTGATGCTCGCCTGTTCCCATGGTGTCTGTTGAACAGGAAACAGGAAGTGGCTGCAGGTAAACATGTTCATCAGGCTGATTTCCTGCTGATCGGCTGTAATGACTTGTATTAAGCACGGCGTCGRCTGCAGCTGCGGCCGCGTCCCGTCTCGTTTGTGCTGAGTGCAGCGGTGATGTCACCAGCGCCTCACTCTTCRGGGAAGTGGCGCCATGTTTGCAGGCGGACAGCGAGGACCAGTGAGCACCAGATTGGAGGTAATGGGAGAAACGTGAAGGAAGCAGCTGACTTAATGTTCTCCAGTCAGAGGCACACAGAGCTCATTAACGAGCTCTAATGAGCTCTGCTCAGAACGAACCCATCAGCTGACTGGACCACATGTGACTCACGGTCCTCACAACCACACATGTTGACGAACCGCCGTCATCCCGAAGGATGAGCAGTTTTATCTCTTATTATTATTATTATTTTTCATTTATTCAATTCATTTAAAAACAAAACAAATGCTACAGAAAATAATAATACAACACAAATAAAATGAAAGGCAGCAGAAAGAAAAACTTATTAATATCTTCCCCTTTTTTCAAAAAATAAATAAATTCAAACAATAATAATCTTCAAATTACAAAACATAAAAACTTCAGCTCCTTCTCAAACAGCAATGAATTCACATTATACAAATTCATATTTCTTCAACATCTAACTTTTATCATTCTCTTAAACAAATTTATTGAGTCAGCATTTTTATAATCACTTTCCAGATTATTCCATAATCTCATTCCTTGGACTGAAGCACATCACTTCTTCAAATTTGTTTGAATTTTAGTTTTACAAACATCTCTATATCCTTAAGGTTATAATTACATACTCCCTTAACAAAATTTAAATGAATATTCAGAGGTAATAAATTTTTATGAGCTTTATACATAACCTGCAAAATATTACCATCAATCAGTTCATGAAATTTCAACAATTTCAAAATAATATATTTGATGGGTGACTGTAATGTTTTACAGGTCTTTTCTGTAATAAAGATGGGATTTGTAATTGTTTTACATGTTTTCCCTCAGACTTCAATACAGTAAATCAAAAGTGGAAAATTATTGAATTATACAACATAAACAAAGCTTTGTCCTTAAATCAGTTCTTTACTTTGTAAATTACTGCAATGGATTTGGCTGTTTTTTGTTCTTAAGTGATTTATGTGGGAATTCCATGCTTTTATCAATAATAACATCCAAACACTTCACCTATTTGACTCGAATTAAGTCTCTTGTTTTTAAATCATTTTTCTTATTTTTTTTAACGAACAACAAATATAAAAAGTATTAAATCTGTTCAACTGGTCTGATTTCTTGCAGTGTTTTTATTCTTTCAGTCCCTGCGTGCAGCACGCTGCTGCTCAGTTTCCTCACCTGTTCTCTGTTCAGCTCAGGTGTTTTTGTTTCAGTCTTTGTCGCCCCGGGAGGCTGGYATTCCCACTCTTCAGACCTCGTTATGGTTTCTCTGTGGTTTCAGCTGGACCTCGTCCAGTCCTGCCAGTTCAGATGTTTTATAGTTTTGTTGCCACGACATCTTTTTTTTAATAAATTAGTTTGTTTTTCGAGCCTCTGGATTCTGGATGTGAAACTGTGACGCTCAGATCATCTTAACGAGTTTTAGTTTTTCTGACGTCACATGATATTTTACTGGTTTTATGGTAAAACTGACTTTTGATGTTTTTAAGAATAAATGAATAAATAAATAAAACGTGTTTTATTGTTAAAAGAAACGAACAGATAAGAAAACAAAAGATCATTTCTGCTGCAGTTTTGCAAAGTTTTGCTTCTGATTTGTTTGTTTTTCTCAGCTTCACATAATTTCAGTAAAACCATCACGCTGCACTCACACTGATGAAATTTATAAGTGAGCAGTGAAGAAGATATAAACATTACCTGTATGATTGTGTGTTTGTGTGTCATGATTAGTAGTGTTAAATGTTCTGTTTTGTTGTATTATTGTGTTGTTTGTTCATYTTTTAACTCAAGGATGTGAGTTAACTTCTGCTATAATCTGGTRCAGCTCATCAAATGGTGACATTTATGTTTGATTGTCCCTTTTTAAATAAAATGAATTAAATGAAATTAAACATTTTTGCAAAAACTTATTTTTCCTGTAAATATTTCGTTTGTTATCAGTTTATTCCTGTGTGTAATTACTGCGGTACCAGTGGAGTTAATTTAAACAGAGACCTGAGCTCAGCTGGTCATGTGACCTGACTCTTGTTCAGGGGTCTTTAAATCAGCCCACCCCCCTCCCCCTGTCACAAACACAAACAAGGACAGCAGGAGGCACAGAGAAAGGTGAGTCTCATCCTTAACTCATTTATTTCATTTAAACACAAAATATTTTCATGTATTTTTAAGAAAAAGGAAATTATTATCTGATTATTTTATAACAGAATTATGTTTCTGATCAGGCACATAAATATATTTATATTCTTCATGTTTCATCTTCAGTTTGTGTCGACAAACAGCTGCTTAACTTTTGCACAAATTGAACATCGACTCCTTTTATTCAGCAAAACTCTGCACCAGAAAAAACTTTGAGTTGCATGAAAATGATTTGAATTTTCTGTAATTAAAACATCAAATAAAAAGTGCTGAAAAAATGAAAACTTCCTCAGTAGATTTTTACAACTCAGTTTGTTTTCTTACTGAAGATGATGATTGTCTCTGAGGAAGAACATGTTGAGCTCACATTCCAAGAATCAGTTATTTAT